TTGAAAGTACACTTAGTGCTACTACTACAAAACTGTGTCTAAATAGTATTGAGCAATAATGAGAATCCGACCTGAACCTAGGGTACTTTGTGACCTTGAGATGAAAAGGTTTACTATGTAGCCTAACAACTTTTACTTTTTTCAATCAAATAAACAAAATACAAAGATCCCACAAATAAACTGTACAGGTCACAAAACAAAAATGATTAAAGAATGGTAAATTATATTGAAAGTAAGCTATACAGATTCTACAGACCAGGAACACTCAAAGAAAATATGTTTTAGTAACACAAAGCTGTACAATGCAAGGAATGTATACTATACCTACAAGTTATCCTAAAAAACAATCACCGTGAAAGTTACCTAGAAGTTAACATAATCAAATTGAAAATAAGATTCCATGCAAGCGTAAAGCAAAAGAACAGGTATAATCTTTCGTCGGACAAACAGTAACAACGTAAGCACAGGGGCACTACACATCTACACAATACTGACCTAGCCAACACTGAAACACATTTTGGGGGTGCATATTTTAAAGCAAGACAAACAAGAAGAGGTACAGTAAAAAGCTACAAAAAAAATTATTAGAAGGTTAGATTTTTTTATAGAGGGATCTGAGAACTACAATATAGTAATAAGATTGAAATATTATTTGATTACTATCTAAATACACTGAAATAAGAATCTACCAGGTCCAGAATGACCACTCCTGTAGAAAAAGATAAACAAGAACCAAAGAACTGAATACAAACTAGAAGTAAAACCTTTTTACAGGCAACTGAATAAATATAGGTACAACCTGTAAGATGAGGCAGTGGATTCATCATCTCCTGAGAGCTACATATGCTAGCTTGCATTGTAACTTTTAATGTAGATATATGAATTAAATTTAACAAAGAGATATATAGGGAATCAGACTGGAAAATAAAATGCTTTTTCTCTTCCAAGCACTGTAAGCATCTATAAAAACAAACCTATAAATAATTTGACACAACAGAACTTAGCAACTGTTTCTCCAGGTTCACTCACTGCCTTGACACACTCCTGACACATTATAGTCTAGAGCTGAGGAGTTCCAATTACTATCTTCATTTTCCTTTGTTTGTACTAACTGGTTCAATGACTGCTAGTTAGTTGCTTGCTAGCTGTAATCCGTCCACTTTGACATGGCAGCTTCCAGAAACATTCTACGCAAAAATACTCATTCAGAACACAGACAAACTAGAAAATGCACATAATTTTGACCAAAAATAACTTACCAGTCTAAACTTCTCAGCCTTCTTACTCTTTGGTTTTGAGGATTATTTGACTTCAAAATTTTAACTATAAATTGCAAACTCTTCCTTCAACGTTGGCTTCATAACTTTCTACACAGTGAACCAATAGCATTTACTTAATCAGTCCTTGCTTCGGAGTGAGACACTAGCATCTTACTAATGAGCATATTTGTTTTCTAGCAAAATAAAGAGGACGCTAAACAGATGAAAAAATGTCACTTGAAGTATCAGGTTTAGGAGGAATGCTTATACTTAAATAAAAAAAACCCTCAATTTTAACTCTTCTTCAAAGCTGAAGTGCTATGAGAATTTTAAGGACCTACAGTCATCTCTTAACACAAGCGCCTTATGATTCCACAGAGTTCTTCTAAACAAATGGAAGTTACACTATAGTCTTAAACTTTCCCTTAGATTAAAGTCTTTTAGGATTATAAGTTTTATCATGTCTTCTTTCTTGAAGACTCTTGGATTTTTTCTGTCCATTTCTAGAACTGAAAGAGACAGCACAGCACTTCCAAGAGTTGCATAAATCCATGAAAAACACTGCTGTAGAACTTCAACTGTACACAGAACACGGCTAAAATATAAGTAGTCAGCTTTCACAATGCTCACATACGTGTCTGAGGAAAAGCTAAGATATCATCCGTATTCTACTATTTTCAGATCATAAATAAGTTTTATACTCAAAATGAAATTTAGAAAAACACTTAAAAAGAGCCCCTTTTCTACTCCCATTGATTAGATTGCACAACAAAAAACTTTTCCACAATAGAGTTATGGAAGACATGCACACAATCCTAACTATCTTATGACTCCACAGCCATCTTACTAATTGAAAGATACAATGCCAATTTAGTTTTCTAAAAACACTTTTTTGCTTAGCATACACAAATCCTCTTCAGTACAATTCTTTCTTGCAGCGTATTTACAACATAAATGTCTTTGCAGAAGCACTTGGATCCATTTTCCTACATCTCAGTTTTCTTTAAAAACAGAAAATGCCTGCCATGCCCCACTGCACTGTGCAATGCTTTAGTGTTCTCATGAGTCAAGGGCTCAAATATCATGAAATAGTATAGAAAGACAAGTGCTGAAATACCATGGAATAACTGTCCCCATTTTATCATCATAATCTGCACAGACATGCTCAGCCAGCATATAAGTGAAGAGGGTGAACATGACTGTACTCACAGAGAGTTTACTCTGTGCAGTTGATCCATTAAGCTGATCTAACCAGAACACTACGCTGTTTACAGCCTGAGCTCTCAGCTCTAACACATTAACTAGCGACTTGTCACTCTCACTGCTACAGATTTAGTGAAGTGTTTAGTGAAACATTTCCTATATGGATTTGGAAAAAAAGGAGGAGGGGTGAAAAGGGGTGAGGCTTCTGGCAAAACAGACGGCTTAGGGAACTCTTAGATTTCCTACGTACTTTTCTACTCTTTGTGATTACCACCTGTTCTCACTTACCACTAGTATGAATAAAGAATATGAAATCTAACAGTTTAAGTTATTTTTAAATTATTTTCCCTAATTATTTCATCTGATGATTTTTCATCTTGTTTCTAATGAGAATCCATAAGTGCCTGCATTAAAACACAAAGAAGATTTAAAATACATATACTGAAAACAGGAACACACTCGCAGAGCACATTCAATTCAGTAGACTAAACAAGAAGTTATATAAACATTGAAGTGTGTAAGAATAATGGAGTGCAAGGGAAACAAGCACAAAGAGACTAAAATATGTATTCAGAAAAAGAACATTATATCTTTACAACTGTTACATACTAGAAAAAAAATAGAAATTAAAGCTTACTGTCTTGACACAGGAATGTAAGTCACTGTTCTGTTTCTTTACTACCAGTACAAGAATTTCTGACTAAATTGCTGCTGTGTAAATTACAGGTAAGATTATCAAATATACGGCAAAGAACTTCTACTCTGAAATTTAACATTTGCAGCTTCCATTTCATTTAAAGAATAACTGCAGAAAAAATTATAATAATTTCACACCATTTATTCACCAATGAAGCAAAAAGTTATCAACTGAGGAAGTTCTTTAGATGACAAACACTTGAAGGTGTTTCAAAAACGACTTTCAAAAACACCGGCCTGAAAACGAACACTAAAACTAACACCACACTGTTAACATATGTGAGCCAGCACCGATTACCTCTCATTCACCACACACCTGTCCTCCTTTCTAACAAGGAGGGGGAGCCTTCTCATCCATCCACCATCTCACAGAAAAGAAGCAAACAAGATACCGCTGCGAGACAGAGGCGCCAGACATGGCACAGGAGAGCAACCTGCAGGACAGACCGAGGAGAAAAAGAAAACATGGGAAGAAAGGGTCGAAGACGACCCCCAGCACAGCAACGGGCGTATCTTCAGGGAAGAAGGATGCGGACTGGGATGTGGCGTGTATCTTCAGGGAAGAAGGATGCGGACTGGGATGTGGCATATCTCTCGATGCCAGAGGAGGCTAATTCATCCTGGCCGACCCGCACGCCCCGTGCGCTTCTCCCCCACGGACTCCCTCCAGCCTCCACAGCTCCGCCTGGACCGGCGGCGGGAGCGTCACTCAGCACACCCCAGGCCCGCCTGCGGAGCGG